AATTCAAATACAATACTGATGAATACATTATGTGTTGCTATATTAACACTAAACGATATTTGTTATATCCCGATAAGAATAATGAATGGTAACTATTGGGATCCATTTATGGTATAATATATAAGTCGGTATTTTGATTAATAACTTCGTCACATGATAATTGATAGTTTATTTATTATTTATTCGAACACATATATATTGATACAAGGGTGCACCAGATACATATGCGCCACACAAATCTCATCAGATTTGTGTAAGGACTGTGATACCACTTGGGTGCTCAAACCGAAACAGGTGGTTTTCTTAGGGAGCCACATTCGGAGCCTTTGACTTAAAGGTCTGATGCACAAGGCATTGGAGCAATGTCAGGGGATGCAGTCCCATGGTAGTCGGTGAGTAATAATTGGTTTATACACCATTTGTTCCTTTAGGTTACTGGAGCCAATGTGTACCATTGGTTTGGAATGAGGGTTTTTCAACTCCCCTAGATGGACTCTCCGTATCCACCAACCTGGTTAAAGTGTAGGACATTCACTTTCCGTCCTCTCAGTTTCGTAAGGAACACCCGTGATACGAGAGGGCAATGAGTAGGACTTCCTGGCAGTGGCTGTATACGTGTGTCCATGTGAGAGCATTTTGAAAGAGAGAGTGGACTCCCCATACCAGGGCATTTAAAGGCGATAATTGATAGGGTCATAATTCATAACACGATCAATACTTTGAACTGAACAAAAATATTAGTTATCTTTGTCTAATAGGTCTGAGCTGTTATCTACATATAATCATATGAAGTTTTAGTTAGATTACATACCTATCTATTTGGACTATAATCAGATTACAGATATGCATATATGTAAATACTGTAAGAAATGTATTATGCATATTCTACATTATACAACATGTTAGTGTGTCTATTTTTCAGTGCGTAAATGACTTATTCTTAGATCTACACTATTACAATAGTTCCTATATACTGACTAATCAATTAGGTTACAAGGTGTTAACACCACATAGTACAGTATTAAGTTACTGTCGCTGTTTTTTAGGTTGCCAGGTGATTATTATGTAATCATATTTCAATGTTCAAATGATTTTTTTTAAATTTCGATTCATGTTCAAGGCATTGAGACTCAATCCTATAAACTAACGTGAGTGGTAACCCGGAGTGGTAGAGATCGGGCTAATCACTCGCTCGACCGATATCCACAAATTGATTATGAAATCCACAAAGAATCACAGCACAATTACTCTTGGATTGAAAAACGATAAAAGTTCACGAAAGTGTTGCATGGAATGTAGAGAGTCGCCCACTATGGGACAAAATCCAACCGATAACAAAAACAGCTATTCTAGCCCCAATAGTTGTGTCGCGCTTTGATATGGCCTGTTTCTCTTCAGAAAGGGCTAGTAGGCTTCACCAACTTGTTTTGTCGGAAGAGGGGAGGTTCAAGGCAAATGAGATTGATAGAAATTCACTAATATTGATCTTTTTTATGTGTTTTAATAAACTTGGAATTTATATTCACACTAATAAACTTATGATCGTTGTTACTTTTATCATTTTTTAATGGTTGGATTCATGAATCAGTCTACGCTAGACCATCATTGAAAACCTGTATGAGATGGATGGCCATTTTGTCCCAGTATGCCGAGAGTGGGGAAAGTCAGCTCTCCCTCTTGAAATGTTCTCACATGGCCACGTACACACAACCACTGACAGGGAAATCCTACTCACTGCCTTCTCGTAGCATTAGAAGGAGCTACAAATTTTAGAACAATTTTGAAACTCAAAGCTCAAGAGAAGACCAAAAGTGGGACATCCAATCAAATTATGGATACTTATTTTGAATATCTAAGATGTAAATGATTTGGATACATATTTTTATAAACTATATCAATATCAAGCTTTATTTCTTTTTAATGTACACACATTTTGTGTGTATATGGTGTGTGCTACTTGTACAGGCACATATAAGTAGTATGTATTAAGAATTGGAGGTACGATTCTTAACAAAAGAAGAGAAATATGAAGAGAAGACACAGAAAAACAGAAGCAATCTGTGTAACAACAGTAATGGAAGAACATCAAGTTTGTAAGGGACAATTCAAGGAAGATATGCAAATGACGTATTGAATGTATTGTTTTCATCATTTACAAAAATACATTGTATAGTATCATATACCTCATCTAAGTCTTTGTTCATTACACTTACATATAAATTTGAATATACTAAGCTTATTCGTCTGAGCATCATTGAGATTAAGTGGTGAAGTGTCTCATAAATCCATACAATATTCTGTATGAATATCATTACCATCAACCTTGCTCGATGTTTCATCTGGAAATGGGATCGTTTGTGCAAGATGTACACAAGTTATCATATCATATTCTACACAAAATGACGAATGAATTCATTTTTGTATTGATTGTTTGAATCTTCGCATTGATGTTTAAGACTGTAATGGATAAGTCTCTTATTATTAAAATGAACGGTACTGGGCTCGAGTCTTGGAGTGAAAATCAACTCTGGGATTCAAATACATTCAGCTGAAGAGTCTCAAGTGGGACGAAACGCGAGTCATGTATTCTGTTGCCAGCCACTATCTTTCTCTGCTTATGAAGCGACAAATTGTGTTTCCAATCATGCTATACTACTCGTATTGTTTTCTTGAAATATTTGTTGGCTTAGATATTTAACCAGATAAGAAAGAAATATTGAACATCACACATAATTTTTATCCAATACTCATGCAAACGTTCAACTAGATAAACAAAAAATATTGTGGTGTGTGCTACTAATGTCGATAGATATAAGTAGTATATGTATCGCTAATCGAAAACGAAATGCTTGGAAGCAGATAATTAGGAAGATCGAAGAAAAGTGGACGAGAACAAAGAATGATTGGTGTAGAAACGAAAAAATAATGAAGTGTGAGACAATTGATTGACATGTTGTAAATGAAGTACTTACTGTATGATTCTCAGATTTTACGAAGGGATTCTGTAACTTTGTTCACTACAATTATCCTAAACATATTTCATCAATATAAGTATGAATATTGGCTAGCAGTGAAATTGGATACACTCATTTTGACCTCTTTTGGACCTGTCAGCCGGATATACCTGCATCTCAATAGTCAATACCCACTATGGGACTCGAACCCGGTATCTTTACTATCGAGCTACCCGTTCTCGAGCTTATCCAATGGAATAAATTTTATGATCGAAATTCAGTTCTTAACATCAACAATTACATTAGCTGAAGTTATTAATATAGGTACACATATTTTGGCGTGTGCAACTGATATCGACTTATATAAGTAGTATGTGTATCGTCAATCGAAAGCGAAATGCTTGGAGGTAGATGGTTAAGAAGATCGAAGAAAAGAGAATGAGAAGAGAGAATGAACACGAATGAACAATGAAGTGTAAGACGATTGATTGACATTTTGCAAATGAAGTATTATACTGTATAGTTCTTAAATTGTACTAAGACATTCTACAATTGTATGTTCAAGTACATTTGGTTGTCCCCCCCCCCTTGTTTGTTCTCATTCACTACAATATTACTAATTTGTCATTAAAAAAAACATCATTCAAGAACATTCCAGTAAACAATGGTTTAATTAAACCACAATGATTCATGAAAACAATATTCTGTTCATTTGCACTGTAACATACATATACATAGTTACTAAAATCAAGATAACTCATTGTGTTACTAATGACTAATACTTATGTGAGGTTGATTGTATAAACACGATGGTGCCAAATACTTAAACAACATTAAGTTAGCTTACATTATTAAATCAAAATTCACTGGTCTTTATATATACGGAGAGTGTGTGTGTGTGTGTATGTGTATGTGTGAATTTCTAGTTTGCACAATCAACCCACATAGTACTAGTCATCATTGAACATTGAATGACCTTCATTCAAAAAAAAACACTAAAAGTTCAAATCATTGAAAAAAAACCTTTATTAAAAGTTAACGTTCTACATTCATTGATATCAATTAAATTCATCAGTTTCATAAACCAAGGAAACGATATCGTTATATAACTTTGTTGTGATTCATTAGAGTGCAGATAACTAATGAATCATAATCAGAAAGGGGCTTCATGGATATTATCATAGATGAATAGTTGAATTTATGAATCAGTGGAACCTAGTCTATCAAGGAATACCTGGAAGTACTGGATGACCATTTTATCTTAGTATGAGATTCCTCCGTAGTGCGTATCCACGATAAGGATTATCTGAATGTAACCATCGTGACATAAATTAGTATAGAACATATTGACATCTGAAGTGAACGGTACTAATGTTCGAGTCCCGAAATGAATATCAAATCTAGGATGTAGGTACATCCAATTAAGGGTTTCCAAATAGAATAAAATACACGTCCTAAATTATACCACCAGTTACATGAACAATAAGGTTTGATGAGAAATAAAACAAACAAACTCTGTATAATTGTTATGTCCCGACGAGAATAATGAATGGTAACTTTGGGGATCTATTTATGGACCAATACTATGTGCATATTTTTATCATATAATTGTTATATAACTAAACTATACATATTCGTGTCCCTCTTATTATAAGCTCTATTTTGATCTATGAATTGTTACTATACGATTTTACATTCTTGAATTATACCTTGTCTATTAATTACTACCTCCTCATTCACAGCCACATTGACTAATTCTTGTACAAATGTTGTTTCATATTTTATGGTACGATGTGGTCTGTCTGGTTGGTATATAAACCCTGTATGTTTGAAAATAAATGATTCGATATTGCAGAGGCTGAGATTGGTGTTCTGGATTTAACTGGCTGGGCTAGGCGGGAAACAGGACCAATCAGAACTCTAGACTGTTTGTACGTGTTTTACGCGTCATTGGTTCGATGGATAGCTCACTAATCTCTAATTGGCGGTATCATTACGTTATACATTAATAGAGCATACAGGTCACAATTTATAACAATAATTTACCCCATCCTTTCATTGCTTGATAAAGTTCTTCAGCATCTTTTTCAGGATTAGTATTTGATTGAAGTTTTAATGTAGGTTGATAAATTTCACCATTTGGACCATATATTTGTAATTTACTTCTTCCCATTATTAGAATTGAATGTATAGGAATAAACTTGCTAAATAAGAGAATAAGAAAAAAACAAAAATGAAATAAGCATTGATGATTATATCAGTCAGTCAGTTAGCTACAACGTAGGACCAGGCACATATATGCATCAGTCCAAGTTGTCATACCTCATTAACACAACAAGATGGACACCAGATTCATAAAAGTAGTTAATTCAGTGGTGGTAATATATAAAAGAAGGATTGCATATAAGGACATAGTACAGGAAGAAAGAATTAGTTCGTAGAAAGATATGAGACGATTTTAATCTCTTATTTTAAGGGGAGATAGAGGGTGTATAGACCGACGCCATTGTGATGGATTCTGAGCCATGTCACCAAGTCTCCAACCATTGGTTACGACAGTCACGCCGACCCCAACCAAGTAGTCTGCATCTACCAACATGGCTCAGACTAGAAGTTAGTGTCTTCAAGCACTGATGATTATGTAATAGTTAACTATTTAAAACAAGTAGTTGAGATTCTAAGTGTCATTAACAAGGATGTCTTATTATTATTATTTATTTGAACACCGAAATATTGGTATAAAGGGGTAGCGAATAGAAATACGCCACACAAGTCACTTGATTTGTGTGTGGGCTATGATACTCTCCGAGTTCTCAAACCGAAATACGTGGTTTTCTTAGGAGGCCACATCCGGAGCCTTTCAATAAAGGTCTGATCCACAAGGCAGTGGGACAACATCAGGAGATGCAGTCTCATGGTAGCTGATGACCAACGATTGGTTCATAAGCCATTTGTTCCTTCAGAATATTGGAGCCCATGTGCATCATTGGTTTGGAATGAGGGTTTTCCAACTCCACTAGAAGGACTCTCCGTATCCACCAACCTGGTTAAAGTGTCGGACATTCGGTTTTCGTCCTCTCAATTTCGTAAACAACAGTAATGCCGCGAGAAGGTAGTGAGTAGGACTTTCGTGGCAGGGGTTGTATACATGTGTCCATGTGAGAGCATTTCGAAAGGGAGAGCTGACTCTCCCCACTCCCTTCCATACCACGGCATTTGGGGGCAGATTTTACTAAGATATTCTCTAATTTTCTATTCAAACACATTCAATTGTCTCCATTTATGTTCTCATTCACTATAGTTGTATATTTAAACTTTAGTTCTAATTAAGATCTCAAGAGAATATAACAGGATCTGATATCATTCAATTGGCTTTCTGATGTTCTGATTGGCTATTTGAAGAAAGGAAGTATTGGTTTTGTTATTAATTTGATACTAGATGGTACTAACATTCATAATCAAACACTGAAAACTATTTATTCAAAAAATAGAATAAGGATAATTAAAATTTATATAAGTGTAAATTATAATTATACCAAATGCACAGTATGAATGGTAACCTCATAGTACTGAATTCATAAGTACTTGATATAAAATACATTGTTCGAACCTTTTGGCAAGCAGTGTTAAAAGGATAAATGAATTGGATTGATAACAGTTGTAACTTTTAAAGTGTGTACATACTAACAACGAACTCTAGATAGTCATACAACGTCCAATTGAATGAAGTTGTAATGACGAATTCTTGAGCTAATCCGTGTCGGGTAGATACAGATATTTACCTCAATAGAATGGAAGATGGTCGCGCAATCTCGTGGATTGGTTGCGGTTAGACATTAACACCATTGGATGCCGGCTCAGTGGTCCAGTAGTTTAAGCGTTCACACGCGAGACTGAAGGTCCTGGGTTCGAGTCCCGCGAGAGGGATCGTGGATGCGCACTGTTGAGGAGTCCCACGATAGGAGGAAACGGTCGTCCAGTGCTTCCAGGTTTTCAATGATGGTCTAAAATCAATCGGTTCACGATCTCAATCCAATTCTTGAGATTTTTACGATAAAAATGAAACGATTTCTAATATTTTCTAATTTTCAATAATCCTCTTGAAGCTGTTGTTATGTAATGAAAATCATATTATTACCATTACATTAAATAAATATTGTTAAACAAGTGGCCATTGTGAAATTTGAATACTATGTAGCTACTTCTCGTGGAGGAGCATAGGCTACCCACCAGAACTCTCCATCCGACCCTGTCTTGCCCAATCCTTTCCAGTTGTCATTCATCTTCTATTTCCCGATGTAATGTGTTCTTTGACATTCTTCTTTTCCGCTTCCCTTCAAGATTCCAAGTTAGGGCTTACCTCATGATTCAGTTTGGTGATTTCCGTATTGTCTGTCCTATCCACTTCGAATGTCATTTCCTACTTTCCTCTTCAGCTGGAAACCGGTTTGTCCTCTCCCACCGTGTGGAGTCGCTGATGGTATCCAGCCAGTAAATGTTGAGTATCATGTGTAGACAACTATTTGTAAATACTTGTACCTTTTTTATGATGATTGTAGTAGTTCTCGAAGTTTCAGCTCTGTACATCAGAACTGTCTTGACGTTTGTATTGAAAATTCTGACTTTGATATTGGTTGAAAGTTATTTTGAGTCCCATATGTTCTTCAATTGTAGGAATGCTATCCTTGTTTTGCCAATCCTTGCCTTTACGGCAGTATTCGATCCTCCTTTTTCATTGATGATGCTTCCCAAGTTCGTATATATTGAAAACTAAGTACTTTATGGTCTTATATTTTAACTATTAATAATCATGTTAGTTACAACTCAAATAAATATAATGATCTAGAAGTTAAGTATCCGCGCATCATACCGAATATCTTGGTTTAAATACCTACTAGTGAGGTCATAGATATGCATCATTCAAGAGTCTATGCTAGAATGATACGACTATCTTACCTTTCTTGATATCGATGATTATCTAACTTAAATCAAATCAAGATCTGATACCATTCATTTGATTCTAATTGGCTATTTGAAGAAAGGAAGGGTCGGTGTTGTTTATTGATTACATAATAAACACATCAATGTAGATATTTGAAATAAGAGCGTAGGCAAATGAATAGTAAATATTTATTTTAATTATTATCTAATTTCACATATTCTTATGTTATTTGCACAATTAAATGGTAATTCAATGTTTCTATACCATAATGTTTTTTTTTCTTCTGGCATAAACAAGATATGTACATATGTAACTATTGTAAATGAATTGAAATACCTGTTTAGACATGTATTTTCGCACAATTAATATCTTAATAGTTATGTGTAGTGTATACTACTGATATCAATAGATATAAGTAGTATGTGTATCATTAATCGAAAGTGAAATGCATGAAGTTAGATGGTTAAGAAGATTGAAGAAAAGAGAATGAAAACAAACAATAATTACTGTGAAAACGAAGTAATAATGAAATTTGAAATGATTGATTGAGTTTAGTGGAGTTTTGTTCTTTCAGTTGGATGGTAAGGGATAGGGATAAAACTTCACCAAAATCATTCACTTGAGCTACAAATCTTCTCCACCATATTACAATTGATTGACATTTTGCGAATGGAGTATTCATTATATGGTTCTTAGGTTTTACAAAGTATTTATTTATTTATTTAAACACGTAAACATTAATACAAGGGGGCACCAAAATATATATGCGCCATATAAATCATTTGATTTGTGTGCAGGCTGGAATACTACCCGGGTGCTCAAACCGAAGCAGGTGGTCTTCTTAGGGTGCCACACCCCAAAAACTTGACCTAAATGTCTAATACACAAGGCAGTAGAACAACGTCAGGAGATGCAGTCCCATGGTAGCCTGTGACTAATAATAGGTTCATACATCATGAGTTTCCTCAGAATACTGTAGTCCATGTGAATCACTGGTTTGGAATGAGGGTTTTTCAACTCCCCTTGGTGGACTGTCCATATCCACCAGCCTGGTAAAAGTGTCGGACATTCGTTTTTCATCCTTTCAATTTCGTAAACAACACCCATGATGCGAGAAGGCAATAAGTAGGACTTCCCTGGCAGAGGCTTTATACGTGTGGCCATATGAGAGCATTTCCAGAGGGAGAGTTAACTCTTCCTACTCTCGGCCGTACCAGGGCATTGGGGGGTACGATCCAGTATATAACTAGTAGTACTATTGATCTAAGATTCATGTAAGAATAAGTAGAACACTTAATTGATTTTATTCATAATGTACAAGTCTTAGACAAATTTTATTGTTCTCAATTGCAAAAACAAAAACATTCTCAGAGTATTATCTTTATTCTATAAAAACGTTACGATCATTTTTTGTTTAATTATTAGCCTTGACCTTGAAATAATCTTAAAATTGGTCAGTTTACTCCTATACTTAAACTTTAAAATTAAGATTATTTATAAATAGTAAAACTTGAAGATTTCTTCTAGTACTATCATGGATTAAACTTTGAATAAGTCAGTCAGTCAGCTACAACGTAGGATCAGACACATATATACATAGGTCCAAGTTTTCATACTTCATTAGCACAACAAGATGAACACTGGATTCATAGAAGTCGTCATTTCGATGGTGGTTATAGGTAGAAGAAAGATCGCATATAAGGATATAGTACAGAAAGAAAGACTTAGTTCGTAGAAAGAATGATATGGAGCGATTTTAATCTCATCTTTTAAGGGAAGACAGAGAGTGTATACACCGACGTTTATTGTGATCGATTCTGAGCCATGTTACCAAGAATCTTGAAACATCGACTTCGATAGGTTGGACATATACTTAACTAGTCAGTCAGTCAGTCGGCTACAACGTAGGATCAGGCGTATATATGCATCGGTTCAACTTGCCATATCCCATTAACACAACAAGATGAACACTGGATTCATAAAAAAAGTTAATTCAGTGGTGATAATATATAAAAGAAAGATCGCATATAAGGATATAGTACAGAAAGAAAGAATTAGTTCATAGAAAGATATGAAGCGATTTTAATCTCTTAGTTTACGGGAAGACAGAGTGTGTATACACCTACTCCATTGTGATGGATTCTGAGCCATGTCACCAAGAGTCTCTAACCATTGGTTACGATAGTCACGCAGATCCCAACCAAGTAGTCTGCATCTCCCAACATGGTTAGGATTAGAAGTTAGTGACTTTGTAGATGGATGCCACGTTTTGGTTTGGCCATCCCTAACCTTCTTCCAACTATTCCTAACACTAGTCATCATTGTATGTCGTGGTAATCGGTGTTTAGGCATACATGACACGTGGCCATTAAGTGATTCATAGTTGAGATTACTTTTACAACCATGATAATTTGACGAAACGATGGTTATAAAATGGACTGTTTTTAGGGGAAAAAAATGGATAGACCGAATAAATTTCTTTCTTAGTTTTTCATTATGATTTTACAGTAATATGTATATAGTTTACAATAATTAAACAATAGTCATAGAGTATTTAATTGAGATCATGAACCGATTGATGTAAGACCATCATTGAAAACCTGAAAGCACTAGACAACCGTTTCGTCCTGTTGTTGAACTCCTCAGTAGTGCACATCCACGATCCCGCTTTGAGGGAATAATTACTTAACGGATTCTTATAAGATGGATTTTTGGTAGATTACCATATTCTATTTCATTTCTAAGTGAATTAAATTCTGATTATTAGTGCTGACATAAAGAACATAGTTGTTTAGTTTGTAGAGACTAGATGAAAGATTAAATTGAACTGAGATGATGGTATATCCAACTGACGAGTCCCAAATAGAACGAAACGTGATTCATGGATTCCACTGCTAGCCACTACCCATCTTTGTATATAATGCTTTTGACTTACGACAATATCAATACAATCCGCATAGGATGTATATATGCCAATAAGAGACTGGTCAATTGATAAGATACATCCACGATCCCGCACCACGCGGAGCTCGAACCCAGGACCTACTGCCCTCGCACGCGAGCACTTAACCATTAGACCACTGAGCCGGCATCTAACGGTGTTAATGTCTAACTTCAACCAATCCACGAAGTTGCGCCACCATATACCATTTTGGATGCGCACTGCTGAGGAGTCTCATACTAGGACGAAACGGCCGTCCAGTGCTTCCAGGTTTTCAATGGTGGTCTAGCTTCAACTGACTCATGATTTCAATCTGTGAAAATTTCTAAAAATCTCCACAAACCCCTTCTGATAAGATACAAGCAAATCATACTAAGTGAAAATATATGCATATTTGCAAAATAACAAATTAACCAAAGTAATTCAGAAGTCAATGATAACAATGAAATAGAATACGTGATTCATCATCATAATTGGCAAGTACATGTTGATGGTGAATAACAAATGTGTTCATTGTGAATGAATAGTATGATAGTATGTGTGAATGAATCTACTTACATAATAAATAGGTCAAAGTTTAAAGAAACAACACAATCAATTTATGCATATAAATGTTAAAGAAGAGAAAAGTGATTAACAAAGAATAGATATAATTGATCATTATTGTCTGTTAGGTTTGATTTCTGATAAAGAAGACATGATAGAGACATGAAGAACCTTTTTCTGAATACAAAATCTAATGTTGTCAGCTTGAATCTTTATAGCTTCTGTCTGAAGTAGGTGACTATTGCAATCAATTATCGGAGACTCTAGGTGACATGGGTCAGAATCGATCACAATGGTGTAGGTGTATACACTCTCTGTCTTCCCTTAAACTAAGAGATTAAAATCGCTCTATATCATTCTTTCTACGAACTCTTTCTTCCTGTGTTATGTCCTTATATGCAATCTTTCTTTTATATATTACCACCATTGAGTTAACTACTTCTATGAATGTGGTGTTTATCTTATTGTGCTAATAAAGTGTGGCAACTTGGACCGTTACCATATATATATATATATATATATATATATATATATATATATATATATATATATATATATATATATATATATATATATATATATATATATATATATATCCCTGGTCCTACGTTGTAGCTGACTGACAGACATAGCACATTTTCTCTAGCTAGGGCATTTGGAAGGGAGCCTATATGTTTATAACACTCGATTTGATATTCAATTACAACTATTTATTTCATTTCAATTTTTAATTCAACAAAACTTATATTTTAACTTCATTATTTCAATGAAAGACTAGTAAATTAAGAATATCCCAGGGTACATAATATCTTTGAGTAAACAAACATTACGTCTACGACTAATATTCTGTTGAAAACTCAAGTTTATGTCACTTGTACGAAATTAAGTGAATCTTACAAGTGGAAGACTCTCTCTCTCTCTGTCGTTCTCTGTTGAGTCGGCTTCCGAGAACTACAACGGATCCTCCAGAAGCTCTAAAGGAGCTGAAGACTTCCAGCCAATCAGAACATGATGGAGCTTTCTAGATTACCAAAGTGGCATGCTATTATTGTTTAATAGCATAATATGCCTCTTAGCGGATTGACCAAAATATACTGTTGATTTAACAAATGCTAATATCTATAAATACCCGTGATTTTCTGTACACTTTGATTCTGACCAAATAAACACTTCTCCAGTTTTTCTGTGTTCTGATTTGCGACAGTGAAGTTCAACGTTCAAGTCTCGTGGTCCTAAACCGTATTCTGAGTTAATCAAGTAACGAATTTAACACTCTCTCGCTTTGTAGATTCGGTATATACTTTCGAAATAAATGTCATCTTCAATGGAAATTTTAATTTAATTTACTTTTTGAACAAGTTCTGTATAATGTTTTGTTCATACTTTTAGATAAGAACGTGATAGTAGATCTGGGATATAACTAATTAATAAGTTCTAAATGAGAGAGAACAATGATTAACCTCGAAATAACTAATTAGTCTATGGCCCCTAAATGCTCTGCTACAGCTGAGAGTGCTCTCAAGTGGCCACGTGCATACAACCACTGCCAGAGAAGTCCTACTCACTGCCTTCTCTCATCACGGATGTTGTTTATGAAATTGAGAGGATGAAAAGCGAATGTCCGACACTTTAACCGGGTTGTTGGGTATGAAGTATCTACTTATGGGAGTTGGACAACACTTATTTCAAACCAATGATTCACATGGGCTCCAGGATCCTAAGGAAACAAATGGTGTATGAGCCTATTATTAGTCACAGGCTACCATGGGACTGCATCTCCTGACGTTGTTCTACTGCCTTGTGTATTAGACATTTAGATCAAATTTTCGGAATGTGGCACTCTAAGAAGACCACCTGCTTCGGTTTGAGCACCCGTGTAGTATCCCATCCCGCACACAAATCAAATAATTTATGTGGCGCATATATATTTTCGTGCCTCCTTGTACTAATGTTTGTATTTAAATAAATGATTACTATAAATAGACGATTCTCTGTAAGAATGGAATGGGAATTCGGTTATTTTCATAAATGTTGATCTCAATTTTATTTAAAAGGGTTCATATTTTTCTGTTGAATAAGTTAGTGGTTACATGAACTCTATAGTTAAGTAGTTAACGCATTGATTTGTAATAAAACGTACCAGATTTGAGCATCAACGCTGAGATTCAGGTTTATCTAATTGATATATCTCAAGAAGAATGAAGTTTCACTACTAGTTACAATTATACTGTAATTAACTAAAATATTTGTAATTTAATAATTGAATTAATGAGCCGATTAAAGCTAGACCAACATGGAGAACCTGGGTACACTAAACGGCCATTTCATCCTAGTATGGAACTCCTCAGTAATGTATATCCACGATCGCACCCATGGGATTAGAACCCAGAACCTTTGGTCTCACTGAAGAAAATGGTGGACGGTGGTGCAATTTCATGGATTGATTGAAGTTAGACATTAATACCGCTGAACACCTGCTCAATGGTCTAGAGATCAAACTTCCACGCGTGAGGAGTCCCATACTAATACGAAATAGTTATCCAGTGCTTTCAGCTTTTCCATGGTGTTCTAGCTTTAATCGATTTATGAATCTAACTATTGAATTATCACAATCTCCACAAAACCCCTTTCTGACAATAAAATATTTGTGTACATAGTTGATTGTTGTTGCACACAAGCCAGTTTTGATAAAAGAACAATCACTATAGTATTCTTAAATTACAAAACAATTTATTTCAATTAAATAATTTCATATACTACTGAAGTCATGATGGGGTTTGAAAATTAAGTGAAACTATAATTTGTGAACAAACCAATCAGATTTAGGATAACAAGTCTTGGATTTTGGTGCGAAATTCATTTAACCATTTAGTTAAATGCCGTTTCGGCATTAGATCTGATGTCAGTTCGTGATAAAAAAAAATAAAAATAAAATCCTAAATCTAATTTCTAACCCTAATCATCAACTGTAAATCATAATTCTAATTACTCAAACAGGTTTGTAACCCTCATTGGATCCTAATTATTAAGTGGACACTCTCAAAGTCACTTCAGAGTCGCTCAAAAGTCGTCCATAAATTATAGTCTCACCGAAAATTACTGTTAGCTTAAACCCAGTTGAAAATTCAAGAGTCAATAAAATTGATAATGATGCATTTAGGTTAATTACTATGCAGCTATGCACATTGTAACCTATGTAACTTATAATACAAACAAAATCACTACTTACAAACCGAACCCAGCAGCAATGATAACGACTAACCTTAAACGAAGAAACTGACGCCCATATACGTAATCTCAATCAAAATCGTGATTTTATATTTAATTTATGAATCACGAGATATGTCAACCAATAAAATTTGTCTTCAATCAGATCTACCAATGAAATTATTTTGATTTGTAGCATCTCTATGATTGTGATTGGTTAATAATATGCTAACATTCTATTGGTTAGTTAGTATAATTACATTTGATTTGATTGTTTTTTTTTTAATCATATTACGTTAGCAAAAAGCTTTAGTTTACTATCATCTCAGATCTTTATTTATCCTGATCTTCACAGTTAAACAAAAAAACAACTCTGTACCACATAAAAAATAAACAATCTCTCTATTTTGGTGAAACTTAGGGGGATTTTAGGTAAATTTTGGTGTTTCCCCCAAAGTTGTAAGATATTTGGTAGTTTTCCCCAAAGTTTGAGGAAATTTTGGGAAAATGGCACTAGAATCCAGAAATTTCCCCAAAGCTTTCTATTACAGCTTCCTCAAAATTTACCCAAAACAGACAAATTTGTACCAAATTAAAGATATTGGAGATTGCACTTGATATCAAGTGCAAAAGTAACAACTATTTAAAATAAAAAAGCTTTATTTACTCTGTTTGTCAAAATAAGTCCTTGTAACCATAATTTTATGGTGTGAATTTTCAATAATATAAAAGAAGTCGTAATAAATTCACTTAGTATTGTTTGCTTGAATCTTCCCCTTAGGGTTTTAGACTTCAATCAATCAGTCTGTTATTGGCGCATACTGTGCGTACTGCCTGGACATTGCCTTAATTCACGAGAGAATGGAACTGGGTTCGAGTCATGGAGTGAACATCAACTCTGAGATGCATGAACATTCAGCTGATGGGTCCCAACTGGGACGAAACGCGCGTCCTGGATTCCACTGCTAGCCACTATCCATCTTTGGTTGTCGAATTAGAACTAATCCCAGTAAGTCTAGAACTTCAACAAGACAAATCAAGAATTCAATTTCGAAGGACTCAGCGTGAAATCGTATTGTATTATTAAGGTAGATTTAAACATAACATAAAATTTTTGATGGTACAGAAAACACATAGGTTATTCACCATAACACATTATCCTTTCTGATTATGAAGATTGTTCGAAACAGAATTGAAGTGAAATAAACAATAAAAGATGAAAAAAATGAGGCAAAGTTGTTCTAAAACTATAACATTATTGAAAATTGAAAATAATTTTGAATTAACTGTCATTTCACTAATTATAGATCTAAGCGTCCAAATGTTTGTTTAGATAATCGACAAGCGGACACTAGATGGGGATTCAAAATTCTATTTTGAGCAAATATATGAACGATTATCTGAATTATAACTCTCCCTGTGGCTTTACTACGGTTACTTTCAGTCCTAAGCTCGGGTAAATGTTGAAAACTGAATATGTTACCAGCAAACTTAGCCAATAAGAAATAACCTTGCGAAAATCCCTAACTAGAATAAACAATTTAATCCATTTAAACTCTGCCCTAGGGGCTCCAGGATATTCACTAAAAATAATTATTGAGTCTCATGGTGAAAGTCGAGATTCTTCGGAAGTTACGAGGCCTATAGCTCTTCTAATCAGCAGAGCAACAATTAACATGGTACATGGATTGTCCGGACAATGTGGGAGAGCGATAAAACCAGTCGAATAGGTGCGAAAATGAGGAGATACAACTTGACGGTGCTCAAGATTATTGAAACACAGTGGACCCAAGCAGAACAAAAACGTTAGACTCGGGAAAGATGTTTCTATACTCTGGTCATGAAGGGAAAATGTCCCACACACTCAGGGAGTTGCTCTAATACTGTTCAAAGAAGCAAAATCGTACTTTTAGAATGAGCATCTCATGGTTCCAAGACCATGAAAGCATCTTCAAAGCAAATAGGAAGGAAATCATAATTTTATCTGATGTCATGCACCCACCAATGATAGAAATGACAACAATAAGGATCAGTTTTACTTGAGACTGCAATCAAACATAGCGACGAGCTCAGGAAAAAACTCAACAATTTTGATGTGTGACCTAAAATCTAAAGTCAGAATGGACAACACTGAGTATGAAGATATAATGGGACGACATGGATTAAGAGAAAGGAATAAGAACGAAGAAAGATTTGTTACTTTATGTGTATTAACTGATTGGTTATAGGCGGCACAATATCCCCTCCCATAAATGCATATACAAAGCTACATGGGTCACACCGGATCACACTGCAGAGAACCAGGTCAATCATCTCCGTATCACTAAAAATTCGCAAGGCCAATAAAAGAAGTGGGAATCAAGAGAGGGGCTAAAATAGCTTCAGATTACCACCTCATGGCTGCCATGATGACGCTGAAGCTAAAGAAGCATTGGACAACTGGACAGACAACAGTACAAAGGTTCAATACAGAATTCCTCCGAAATACTGACAAACTCAACGAAATCAAGGTTACTCTTAACAACAGATCCCAAGCCTTACAATGTCTACTCGCAGAAGAAGAAACTATCATGGAGGAAAAATTGGGAAGGGATCAAGGAACCACTAACCTCAACGTAACAACAAGTGCTGGTCTGCAAAAGCATCATCACAAGCAACGGATCTATGTCGAAACCGTAGGCAAGATTCACAAAAGCAAGAACAAGAAAACAGCAATTAACAACAGCCGAACAAAAACAGAGTAAGTCAATGCACAAGCCTAATACACAAAAGCAAACAAGCAAGTGAAGAGGAGCATTAGGGCCTGATATGCAGTGGTACGTAGAAAACCTAGAAAGGACAGAGGATAAAGTTTCAAGAGAAGAAAATATTAAACCAACGAATAAACTGACACGGCAATATGGTAAACCAGAATTATCAATCAAGTACAAAGAAGGCAAGACAATCACCGATATTCAAAAACCAGAGAAGAGTGGAACGCTTTAAGGAACTCTTGAGTAGACCAGCTTCACCGGATCCCTAAGACCTAGATGCAGCACACATAGACCTTCCTATCGACGTCACTCCATCAACGATCGAAGGAATGAGGATGACCATCAGACACATTGAGAATGATAAATCAGAAGGACCTGACAACATACCAGCTGAAGCAATGAAGTCAGATACATAGGTATTTGCAAACATGCTCCACGTCCTGCTCAGGAAGATTTGAGAGTAGAAACAAGTGCCGACAGATTGAAAAAAGACACCCCATCAAGGTACCAAAGAAAGGAGGCCTCACTATCAAGTCATTCCTAGTAGGTCTTTTGATCAATATGATTAATATGTTTAAATAAAGACACATCACTTGCATCTTTAGGACATGAAGATCCGACGTTACTTCGAGTGGGAGGACAGGGTTGTAAAATCTGTAGTAGTCATAACCACACAATCCTCAAAGCTAAACGTGAGATAACTAGGAAGTAAAATATCCAATATTTAACTCAAAGAGAGGGCCAACAAGGAAGACGGTGGGAATGTTTCATCACTCAATCAGATGGCGTGGTTTGGCCTTGTAGGCATGATCATTCTTGCGTAATTTATCTCTTCTGTTCATGTTAAATATATTGTTGTACCTCCAGCCTAGGTATGTTCTTTAGAAACGCCAAACATATTCCTGACTCTTGCGATACAACGAGTAAGAATAGACAATGATGTGACTTTCATGTAAAATCTTATAAACTAGGCTTTCATATCATGGCAATACTACAATTTTAGGATTAGGTCTATAATTAAAATAGTTCTAACAACGAACCTAAACCATAATCGTGCGAATCTATGATCCGAATTCTAGATATCAATGATTTAAATATACACAACCGACATGTTGATCAGATACAATTCCAGGAACCAAATGAGTCTGTTCCAATTTTGGCTATTGATCCTGATACTAATGACTACATTCTAGATCATACAGAGTCTACATCCAATACACAGTTGGACAGACAAGCGATGAACCTAAGCAGAAGAGGTACAATCGACTAAAGAAATTCGGATCCCCATTTAAGCTGTTATAGTTGTGGTATTTATACGAACGAATAACTCTTCCGTACTTGGTTGCCCGCTGATTACGAATCCCAAATATTATACGTCCATTTATGTTCATCTAATTCTCCTTCCTTAAATAACACTATTTCTAGAATGCATTTATCAGTATTGAAATTAATAATCGAAACTGCAACGGACTCACCAGGCTCCTGGAATTGTATCTGGTCAACATGTCGGTTGTGTGCACTCAAATAATTGATATCTAGAATTGAAACTATAGATTTTCTACATTCTTCATTATAAACTCAGTGGCTGTTCCATGTTTATTTCCACGACAATGTATAACTTCCGTAGACTCTAAACACTTCATATTCAAACGAAGAATCCTTCCTTTTAATAACTTCTACAAAGTGTCTTTCGCTTCAAAATGTTTAGCATTTCCATATTTCAATAGAAATATGTACACTCCCTTCTCCAGTTCATAAAATGTTGAAGCAGTAATGGAAATAATGGCAGTTTCCGGTGTTTGGCAAAATAATCTGTTTGACTATTGAAGCGATGATGCATAAGACCAGTGATTAGATGCCTGTACTTTTTACTCTTCATCTAGGTAGTGACTGTGTCTGCTGAAGATTAAGAACTATTATCAATCACTAGAAACATAGGGACCCCCACCAAACCAAAAACTACTAGTGCTTCGGTTGTGAGGTCAGAATTTTGTGAAGTTTTGAAACAAACGCATGATATTTGCCGAGAAACGGACCACAATAGTCTGCATGAACTCCGACAAGCCTCAGACGACACTGTCTCTACAGAGTACACTTTGAAGGATGACTTTTCGACTTATGACATCCTCTACAACCGTTCACTGTACGACATTTATCTCCGACCACCAACATTTGAGCTTTGCCAAGGATATCACTTTCTCAACACCTATATGTTCACCATGAAGATGTTTAAGGACAGAGTTACATAATGAAGGAGTAGCAAAAACACGATCGTTTGAACACGAAAGATTATCAGGAGTAGACAAGAAATCTGCGTTGCAGATTGACATCCCAACCTTTTCGTAAGGCACTGAGTGTATATCCAAAATACTTACGAATTCCTCTAATGATATCTGGATGTCTCACGGGTAAAGCCTGCGCTAACAAACAGTCTTCAGTTTTAGTTGGTTTATGTTGTGATGATTGTCGAGGAATGTAGTCAACATGTTGAAGTTGTTTGACACTTCTGTCCTGTATCGTCCAATCATATACACTCTAAAAAAATACTCCACCGTTGAACCATAGCAACTGTGAAGAATGTGTCAAGAATTTTTCAGGACGACAAATGTGTACAGTTACAGAACGTTTTCGGTATCCATGAATAACTAGTTAGTACATTTGTGCATAAGGAGAAGCTATTGTATTTTTTAGTAGTATTACTCTAGCTCCGCTTCGGAGCATCTGGCCTCTTATCATCTATTTTTCCAGTCATCATTTTCATTTACAAGCACATCACTGTAAAGTTATCTGTTTCTCTAAAACCCTTCCTCTTTTAATTCGCATTGCTCTTCTTGTCATCTGCTTGAGACACAACAACCGCCTAATGACGTGACAGCTACTGATTCCGGTGATTCCATGGGCTCTGATAAATGTAATTAGCATCAAAATATGACAACCCTTATTACCTCTCATATTCAGTCAGATTGTTGTAAACGGAGGCTGAGTTTATCATATCTTAATATATGTAACATATGCAACCGCCTTGTATTGTTAAGACAAGAACGCAAAACCATAAACTACTTTGCAATAGACATTCGCAATTCAATCTACTTTCCTCCCGATTACCATTAAAATATGTCGAATTCCATAGAACTAGCACAACAGTTTTAACTGTTCTAAATTTAAGGCCACAATCGGTACAAAAATTTGAAAATATGGTTGTGACGTATAATTCGCGAAATCCAGGTTAGTCTGTTATTATTTATCAGTTTTATGTTCTTAGCTGTCAAACGGTTGATGAAAGAAGCACAAGAACTATCAGAGCCCACAGAACTATACTTTGCGAAACCTCTAGAGGTTCGACTCTATATTTTCTAGTATAATTCTTAGGATAATCTGTTTGAGTGGCACTTCACGATAAGAGGTCCTGAAGATTCTGACTTTCAGGGAGGTTTATACCATGGAAGAATTCTTTTGCCTTCAGAATACCCAATGAAGCTCCAAATATCGTATTGTTAACTGTAAGTATCCCCAAACTGTCGTTTACTTCCACGTTTGTTTTAGATGCTCCGAATGACTTCAAAACTATGTTTACTCTACATTCTAGCGTTTCAAGGTTTAAGTGTACGGCCACTGGGTTTGCTTTTAAAACCATGCGCATGCATATGCTAATTTAACCTCAACGAGTCTATAAGTAGCATATCAATAAACAGAAACGCTCTGGTTGCGGTTGCTAAACCTTCAGACAGTATAGCTGTTGATCCCCAGTTTGTCGGTCACTTAGTCTATCTGCTGAACTAGCTAAATTCATACCGTTAAACATACTAAAGTTTGATAACAGTAGGGTATTCAACACGGATAACTAGTACCTCCAATGGTTTTTCCTTAGAGTGAAGGGATCAATGGATGGTCGACCCAAAAATTTTCACAACTCACCTTGTTCCACGAATTTGTAGTGTTGATTATAAGCCTGTAAAAGTATGGAGCTTGCACATCGAAATCTACCTACAAAACCACTCTGCTACCAGTTCCAATCGGTTTTACCTTGGGCACTGCGATCATGCTTCCGTGTCATCAGAACCACTATCAACCCGGTGGTTATGTTACTGGGGCCAGTCTGTTATTTAAACTATGAAGTTTAACAATTTCCACGACATATCATGGTAACAAAGGGTTAAGTTATCGCAACATTACTTATACTCAACAGCAGCACCATGTAAATGATGTTGAAGTTCAACAACTTGTAGTTGGACTTAATGGAAACCACTCGTCAATCATTCAAATCGTTTCAAAACATGTCCTTTGGTGGCCTGGGAACGTTTCTTGGGTGACTTCTCAATAGCTCTCATAATCAAACACTGATTTTTGACGACACAACTCAGTTGAAAATGTAAATATACAGTTAATTAATAGTGTAGCATTGTAACAAATAATTTTGTCGAACCGACATTTTTAGCTCGAATAACAGCCTTATTTGGATTATAAAGTATATAATTCAATATCCTGAGATGTTTTCAATATAGCTCATAGTAGAGGCTAGTAGAGACCGTGTTGTAATTTAATTTTGCGTTTTTTCAACACGATAAATAGTAAAAATAGAATGAATGCTTTTATTTAAGCTATTTCTTTTGTATTATTTTGAGTTTCGCTCTTTATTTCCTCACATTATCGTTTTATCTCCTGTGATACATTCCTTGATATATTATTTTATCAAGCATTTCTTGTTACGATAGCATCGCGGTTCTCTTAATTACATGTAAGATTTTCCTAAATATTTATTGGCACACCATTTTTTCTCTTCAGCCAAATGGACGTTTCGAAATACATCGAAAAATATGTTTAAGTATTTCAGGATATCATCCCGAATCATGGAGACCATCATGGTCTATTCGTACTGCATTGTTAGCATTGATTGGATTCATGCCTACTCATGGTGTCGGTGCAATCGGCTCACTTAATCAACCAAAAGAAGAACGTCAATTATTAGCTCGCAAGTGTGTAACGTTCTTTTGCTCATTTGCCAAGTTGATCTTACGTTTGTTATTATGTGTAAGATAATTTGCATTGGTTGCTTGCCTCATCAAATATTAATGATCTCAAGCACTTTTCTTTTGGGCTCTGCACTCATGCTCTTAGCCTAACAAAATTTTCACTTCTAATGCGATTTCTCCTTCATGTCTCTTGCGAGGAAATCTTAAATTATGTAAAGTGGGGCGGTATTTCAGTTGTTCAGGTGTTTGCATACCAACAAACAGGTCTTGGCTTCGAACCCTAACCCACCTAATTCTGTTTGAGCAAACAAATAGTATGTCAAATCCTTACATTTAAGGTCAAGCACACTGGACTCTACGTAGCGAATTAGTCTAAAAATATAGCGTAACCAACAGGGTGACGTCAACTGTCTGTAAACCGCATAACAGCACTTCAGTTAATGTACTGTCCGAAATAAAACCTCCGCCTTTAACAGTTATAAGTAGAAGTGGATGGTGGCTAGCAATGGAATCCAGGAAACGCGTTCCAGAGCAAACATCAACCCTGGGATGCAGGTAGATTCGGATGACGAGTCCCAAATGGGACGAAACGAGCATCCTGGACCTCACTGCTGCCCACCATCCATCTCTGCTTATAATGCTTGTGACTCCAGGAAATATCGGGGCAATCCTCACAGAATGCTTATATACCAATAAGAAACTGATCAATTGCAATCCTAAACATCAATGAAGAGATTCAAACAACCAATACAAAAATGAGTTACAATTAGGTTTGGAATATTTTGTAAATTTTGTAGATTCGAGCATTTCTGACTTACAAAAGTAGGCGAATTAAAGACCATTGCTGCTGTAGTTTCTAATTAAAAACTCACACTTTTTAGTCAATGTTAATATAAACTTAAATATGTTAAGAATATATTTTCAATTTAGATGTGTTCATTATAACCTGAAGGCGAATCTCTTCAGCAATTTATCACAAAATAATGGATCAACTTTAAGATTTTAAATCCTGTTCTAGGTTGGTGTTCCTCTGGAAAATATAATTTTTTAATGTAACCTGATATGTAGTTACCGAGGCATGTTTTATGTGAATAAGACACATGAACTGTAGAAATATGAAAGTAATCAACATAATCCATAATAAAATGGAAATCTGTCCATAAAATCATTCTTTACTAGACATTGAAGCGTAAAAGCTGTTACTCTGTGTTATGTCCCGACAAGAATAATGACTGGTAACTTTTGGGATCTGTTGATGGACCAATACCAAACGTACCTTTCTATTGTGTAATTATTAAGTAACTAAACTATGCATATTCATATTCCTCTTATTATAAGCTATATTTTGACCTATAAACTACATTATATGTTTTACCATTCTTGAGTTATACCCAGTATATTAATTACTACCTCCCTCATTCACAGCCACATCTAGCTAATACTTGTACAAATGTTGTTTCATATTTTATTGGTACGTTGTGGTCTGTTTGATTGGTATATAAACTCAGTATGTTTGAAATATAATGATTCATATCGCACAGGCTCGAATCGGTGTTCTGGACTGGGCTAGGCAGGAAGCAGGGCCAATCAGAACTCTAGGCTGCTCGCACATGTTTTACGCGTCATTGGTCCGATCGATAAGTCACTGCCCTGTAATCGGCGGTCACAAGTTATAACTCTGATATAACTGAATTGTATAATCACATGTAGATACTTAATATTGTTATCAGGAATACTTCAGTATTATAAATATGTCATCCAAAGTTGTATAACATTGCCAAACCCTCGTCTAAAAACATTGATGTTCTTTACCTTTGTCTCTATTGTGTGATCATCACAAATATTTATTTGTAGCTAACTTTTACTTAATTCAATAAGTAGAGAGTCTTCTGGGCCAATATCAGTATACTTTGTGGATATAGATCAGCAAGAGTTGTTATTGTTGATTTCTAGGAAAGGCAATCGTTTTGATGTCTCAGATAACATGTACTGTGAATATTAGTTTGTTGGTAAAGGGTAACCCAAATAATATTATGTGAGTACTATTGGCTTCGTGGCTGAAACAGTCGATTTTCAACCATTAAATGATAGGTCGAGACTTTTTCCTTACTTTACGTTGAGCAACCATTTGGAGCTTTACCAAACGTGACACAAAAAATGTAGGACTCTTTAGCTACAGCCTTCCAAAATTCACTAACAGTTGAGGGGCTTATGTCAATCGGGTTGTTACAGAATGATGAGTAAATAAAGAACAGTTGGGCTATTATTTAAGATGTCCCAGTTAATATCAATGCAAATTTTAGGTGTTTTATAAATTCGGTACCATCTTAAGTGATTTATCATGATCATGAAACGGATCTCTGCAGAAATCTATCTATAATAATTTACTTTGGGAAGTCAAACAGTTTCACTAACTCATACACAAAACCTGTGTTTCTAGTCTGAGTGGATAAAGCTATACTTTATGATTTGATTGTGTGGAATTCGAACTGATATATGTCAAACATCGTACTGTTTTGTCGTATTGTGATATATGTAGCTGAATATTCTAGTTACATCATATTCAGCTTTCATGAAGCTTTGTAAAGCCTTTGCTACGATCCACGACATTCTGTTCAAATATACACGCTTTCTATACCCCTGTCAAACTGGCAATATGAGTGAGAAAACTGATGAGTGCTTCAGAAACTGTAATTGACAATTCACAAATCATTTGTACTTCCGACCCAAACAAACACATGTGGGTTGAGACCTTAAGCAAGTGTATAAACGACTTTCTCTAATATTATATCTCGTCTTTAATTTCTCACCTACTGTTCGACCTTGGGATAACCTGTTAGCGCAGACACTTATTATGCTTAAAATCTCTCAGGCTATCAGTATCGGCTTAGCAATCACAGCGCTCAATCTTTAACCATTTGACTCAAGTTTAAAACCCACTCCACTTCATTTAGTCTTGTACAAAAGAGTAGAAACATCATAGCTTTCATGTTGAAAAACGTCTAACTCCGTTGGAGAAATACTTAAACTTATACTCAGTAAATAAATAAATTAGTCAGTTTTGTAATATCTCATATTAATTGATATTATCATAGATAATATTGTTATTATTGTACTTCACTTAATTTTACTCCAGATCACAGAGTTATGTTTGCAGTATATGTGGACCAACTAACAATTTACTTCTGCCCTTAACTACAGCTTCATCATCAATGAATAAAGAAGCCAGTGAGGCTGCTGCTCAAATATCTATGATGGTAATTTCTTTGCTTCTTTCATCATTCATTTGTTTTCGTTATAACGGGACGAATATTAAAAAAGTTGAAATTTTTGGGACTGTTTTTTTAAGTTGTTGTTATGTACATTTTTGATACATAATTTCCATAGTCATCCATTTGTTTTACCTACAAAAAGTACACCTTCAAAGCATCGCTTGTGTACTTTCAGACCACCGAGTAAGCAATATCCAGCGCTAGAGATAAGTCAATATACAAAGATAGAAAATTGATTGATGAGGTAGTAAGTCTTCACCAGCTAAGGTGTCACGTATACTCAATTATCGCCCACCTCTATGAGCGATGTTGTTGTGTGTAGAAGTAGATTGTGAGAAAGCTATGGTTGACTAGACCAAAACGTGGCACTGATCTCTGAAGTCATTAACAACTGAACTGAGTCATATTAACAGGCGTAGACCACGTAATTGGTGTCCGCGTGACTATCGCAATCAACCGTTAGAGATTTTGTGTAACATCTCTTAACATCGTTCACAATGGCGCAGGTATCTTCACTCACTATCTTCCTTTAGATTCTAAGTTGTTGATTGCTTGTAAAAGTTTTTTTTATTTCATCAATTTACATTTACTTCTCGAATCATATCTTCACTGTCTTTGCTATCGCTGCTAATACTTCTAGTATCCCTACTCTGGGACTTTGATAATATCATCTCGCTGCGCCAATGAGGTATGGCAACTTGAACCAATGTATACATCTACTAGGTTCTACACTGTGCTTCACTGAAGGAGAGTGGAATAATTATAATAAGGGTTTAGATCAAGCTTTTATTAAGAAATTACGCTTCACATTACCGCAAGTTGACTATTAACAAAACGTTTTAATTCTTTTTCAAAGAGAGCAAGAACGAAGATTGATGCACATTAATAAATGGATTCATTCTATTTCGTTAGATTCTCATCAACTACTTACAACCTATTTACCATTTTACAAATCAATGTCGTTACACATATTGACATAATTAATACATACAAGGGTGACTACGGATGATTATGTGTATCATGATGTAACAAAGATTCGATTAGGGTCAATAAGGTCATAAGAAGTCGTTTGTTTCAGATAAATAAAGTTTTTTTTTGGGGGGGGAACTGACAGAACAACTAACTAGTGATTAGAACTCATGGAGTTCATAAACATTAGACGATGGTGTAATTAAGTAACTGAAAATAGATTAATGGTAATGAAGAAAGATATGAATTGAAGAAAACTGATAATGATGCAATCAACAAAAGTGGGGGTGTAATGTTATCAGGGTAAAGGAAGATTTATTACTGCCTCCTTCTGGATACATGGATCTGGTTTTAGACATCTGATTGCTATCGCTTCTGCAAATTTCAAAAGATTGGAGTTTGATTGTTTATTAATCACCTTGAATGACGTCAGTGTATTATCTGTGGTGTGTACTGCTTATATTGATATAAGTATTATATGACGCGAGCTATAAAGCGTAATGTCTGACAGCAGAAGATGGGAGAAGATCAAGAAAGGAAGTGCAGGAACACAATGCAATTGTAAGAAAACGCATGAAAAATGAAATATGAGACAATGGACTGATGCTTGCAAGAGGAACAGTCCAGGTTGATATGATGGATTGATATTTTGCAAATTAACGACTTGTTATATGGTTTTTCTAGTTTACCAAGTAACTCTGTAATTTTGGGTTGAATACATTTGCTATAACTGTGACGGCAGCACATTAGAGGATAGCGAATTATTGATCGGACCAAAGACGCGCAAACACGTAGAACGGCCTAGGGTTCTGATTGGTCCCGCTCCCCTGTCTAGCCCAGCCAGTTGAGTCCAGAACGCAAGTCTCAGCCTCGGATATATGAATCACTATATTTCAAACACACTCTGTTTATATACTAATCAAGCAGACCACATCGTACCATAAAATAGAAAATAACGTTTGTACAATATTGACCAGTAGCAAAGTGACATGTGAAATAAGTACTGACCAATAAGAAAATAATACCATCTCCAAGTCCAAGAATAGCATTAGACTTAATAGAATAATTTTTGGGATATTTTCCTGAATATGCCAACAACATTCGATTGTCCCCACCCGTGTTCTGTTCACAACATATTGACTTCATGTCCTGTGAAAAGGAAATCTCGCGCGATGGCACTGCCAAATGCTTTTAATTCACTTGGCCTTAAACTTTTTGAAATATGTTCTTTAAATCGGACATAGGCTCTCCTTTCTGTTCTACCAATGTAACTACTTCGGCAAATACATGTGAATTTGTATACACTGTTGGTGATAACATGAAAGGGATACCAATCGACCTTTGATTATGTTAAAGAATGTGCTGTTTTGGACAGGACAATCAATTTAGCTTCAGGATAAGTTCTTGTCAATGCAGTTTTTAATCTCATATTGATTGACCCTGTGACATCATCATCCTTGAATTTAAGTTGAATAAAAATAGGTTTTTTTACATACTGGTTTTACTCTTACTACCTCTACCACTACGGGATTTTATCATCTGCATCTCTGTGCTAATGTGCTATGGCAACTCGAACTGATGTACGTACGTACGATGCTCCACGTTGTTACTGACTTACCGTAAGCTGTTGATGAGAATCTAACGAAATAGAATGAATCCATTAATTATTCTGCATCAATCTTCGTTCTTGTTCTCTTTGAGGTAATAAATGAAATTAAGTCTATGAATTTTGGATTTTTTTTCTGTCTAATGACTTACCCTCCGCAGTAGTTTGAAGTGTAATAATAGTTTCTGGTATAAAATAGCTTAGGGCGGCCAATTTACGACGCGTTATCAATCGATCAAGCTATTGACTTTTGATCTGTATACTATTTGGTTGAAATCTATGGGACTATTTTACCATGTGGTTATAGTCGTCATATGAATAGTATCCCTAGATTAGAGTAATCTTCATAAAATCGTTATCAGTAGTTGTTTACAAAGAAAAACGACTTTGTTTTAGTTTTCTCTTAAAGTCTACTCTTCAGGATGAGTGCAACTTTTCAGATTCCATAGTTAGGTATTATTTATATAACAACTTATTTATTAGAATAACGTACTTAAGTGTGAATTTCTAAGTAGACTTCGTATTCAATATGATGGAAAGAATTGCTGCTCAAGTGATGGATGCTTTTAATGTCGAGTCTGTTGTTCTAAACGGTTGGATTGCAGAGATTTTACTGTCGTCTTAGAAAACATCATCGTCGCCTACTTCATGAAGAGTATCACGCAAATTTGAATGTATCAACAAAGGTTATTTCAACAGCAACTAATGATTTTATGGTTTAATGCTATGTCGTCATTTCTTCCTAGTTCTATGTCAATTAGCTAATATCAATTGTCTGTACTCAGTTGGATATATTAAGTCTGAATGAAATTGACCAGTTCACTTTAATTAATGATCATTCTTTCTTCTTTTTTTCCTTGGTTCCACTTTTAGAGTGAGGAAGAATTTAGGAATAAAAAAGCATTCACTAATTCAAACACACCTACCACTACTACTACTACTACTGCTAACAATAATGATCATCATACAAATTCTCTCTTCGGCATTACATCACAATCGAACTTATCATCTGGGAATCTAATTAATCCATCGTTAACACCGTCCACTTCTTCATTTACTGCTACTCCATTTGCAATGCCTTCTCTGTCTTCTCCTACTCAAAGCAATACTGCTAACATTGCTGAAAATATGAATTCATATCTATGGACTGGATTTCCCTCATATATGTATCCTTATCGAAATGAGAATATACCACCACAAATTGCATATTGGTTATGTTTTCCAGTATATTACCCTGTATCACATTTCTTATGAATGCAAGCTCATCATCATCAGTAGCGACTGGATTAAATTCGACAACTGATAGTGGTACAGCTAGTGGGGAACGTGTACCTTTAAGTTTTGGTGAATGGTTAAAAGAAATTCGAGAAGTGAGTTGAATTGATAATGTCTAACTGATTAGTTTTGTCTCTTAATTATTAATTTCATGCTTCGCATCTTAAAGTGACCTTAGTTCGGTAACCATTGAATGCTAAACAACTGTTTAATCTTAGCACGGGAAAATTAGGCAATGTTTATCCACGACCCCACCTGGGATCGAACGCAGAACTCCCAAGTTTTGTGACATGTGTCTAATCCTCAGAAAATTGGGTGAGCATCCAGCTGTCTACATCTTTAATTTCTCGCAATCAGTCTCCAATGCTGTTGATGGGTAAGTACCTTGCAGCGGAAATAGATGGACTCCACCGGCCACTACTTCTTACTAGAATTCCGTGAATTACCTCTCGAAATTAGTCGCTAGTAAACACATGATTATTCCTACCGTAAGAGCTGTATGGAACTCAACAATCACTACAAGCCTCTTACAAGAATGATCAATATTTAAAAAAGGAATTTCTGTATGTAAAAATCTCAGTGATACTCATACTAGACTAACGAACAAAAAGTTGGGATCATTTCTAATTTCTGTCTCTAAAACTTTTATGACTATAATTCCCTTCTTGCTTTGCCCCCGAATGCCCTGGTACGGCCGAGGGTGGTGAGAGTCAGCTACACCTCTCGCAATGCTCTCACATGGCCACGCGAATGCAGTCACTGACATGGAAGTCCTACTCACTGCTTTCCCGCAGCATTGCTGTTATTTGCGAACTTGAGACGACGAAAAGTGAATGTCCAACGCTTTAATCGGGTTGGCAGATATGGAGGATCTATTTAAGGAAGTTGGAGAACCTTAATTCCAAACCAATGGTGTATGATCCAATTGTTGGTCACCGGCTACCACGGGACAACATCTCCTTACGTTGCTCCACTACCATGTGTATTAGACCAACTTATTTGAACACATAAATATTAGTACAAAGGGGCATCAGATATATATGCACCACGCAATAATAATGAGAATGTAGACATAAAGAATGTAAGGTGCGTATAAGAAAAAATATGTACAACAATGAACAGAAATTAGTGTATAACAGTGAAATAATAATAATGGGAGAGACAGTTCGATTAGCAAAAGTACAGCCACAAATAATTCTTCCACTCAAAAAATTTACGTCCTTTTTATGGAGAAAGTAAAATAGGTTACAACAGGATCGCCATTGACTTCTATCCTGAGCCATATCTGATAACGTCTCTGGCCACTGTGTTACACCATCTCTAGGTCCGCAATTAGGGAGTCGTGAAGGACCAACAAAGGCCAGTCTTTGCAGCATTATTTCCTACCACGACACCATGTCATACACTGACCACCTATCCTCTTTTTCCAACCAGTCCCAGCGTCGGCAAATAATGCACGACGTGAAATTCTCTGGGACAGCATTCGTGGAACATGTCCAACCCATCGAAGTCGATGTTTCAAGATAGTGATGATTGAATTATTATCGCCGTGCCTGAACACATGATGCCGAAACACTACATTGTTAACATGGTGTTGCCATTGGACGTCAGCAATCCTTCGGAGACAACGCTGATCAAACGCAGAGAGTCATCCAACATGCTGAACTCGGAGAGGCCAGGTTTCATAAGCAAACAGCAAAACTGCTCTCACCGACACGTTGTAGATCTGACCTTTTACAGTCAGACTAATATCACAAGGGCACCAAAGATAGCCCAGATTAGCATAAGTCGCTCTGGCTTTTACTACAATTAATTAGACCTCTAAATCGAAGGCTCCGATTGTAGCCCCCTAAGAAAATCACCTGCTTCGACCTGGGCAATCGGCCCACCCACAAATCAAGTGACTTATTTAGCGCATATGTATTCGATGCCCCTTTATACCAATATTTATATGTTCAAATAAATCAATAAACAATATGTAATAAAGAGATCCTGATCAGTTTATTGTTTCTTCGTTTAAAAACTGTAAAATTTATATCAAGTCACGTGAATTGATGGAAAACAAAAATAGTTTAGTTCAAGGATCAATATTTCGATAGAAAATATTATTAAACACATATACTACTTAAATTCATTCAATCATTTTACACTATCAAGTGTAGATAAGAATAAATAACAAAATTAGAATGTTTCAGTTTAATGCAAATTTTAATAATGATGATGTATTACATATGAAAGTGAAAATAGATAGAATACAATATAATTCATCTTTAATAATAGTAAGTTATTGTTAGTAAATTTTGTTGTTGTTGTTGTTGTTGTTTTGTCACAATTGGATAGATAAATTTACTTGGTATTGTTTACTTGGATCTTTCCAAACTAAGTGAATAACATGATATGGTGTATGAAGCGAATGGTGTACTCTCAGATGCAGGTACATCTAGCTGACGAGTCCGAAATTGGACGAAATGCGCTTCCTGGGCTCCACTCCTAGCCACTATCCATCATTGCTTATAATGTATAGATAAATGCTTGATTTGAGAAAATCGATGAATTTCAGAATAGTTGTTTTACTGTGATATATCCGAATGATGTATCTTAGGGAAATAAGGGACAAAACACTTCCTTTAATCTGATTATAATAACTTTAGTTAGCCAATCTAAGATATTGACTAGAATGATTGTCATATATATATAAGTATTGTCTTCTCTGGTGTAAGATGCCAGACTGAGAACAGAAAAAGACTGAACTGCTTTAAAAAAGTGAGATTTAACAAATTTAGACATGGGACCATTCCATGAAATCATTGACTGTGTATCTCAATTGTATCGAGAAGTTGGGTCATTGTTGTACGAGAAAATGTCAAAATCAATCATAATATTGTGAATTTTTTTCAAATTTCTTGCAACTTATTCTTTCTTAAAATCAAGACGTTCGGTTTCACAATAATTAGAATACGCAGATAACATAGTCCTGTTTGGTGAAGACACTGATAAAATGCAGAGTCTTTTGGTAGCACTAAGCAACAATGCCAGAATTTTTGGAATGCGCTTCTCTCCCTCTAAATGCAAGTTGCTGCTTCAGGACTGGTCTGCGTCAACACCTGAACTAAGGATAAGGAGTGAAGTAGTCGAACGCGTTGACAACTTCACTTATCCTGGAAGTCTGATCAGCCCTAATGGATTGGTGTCTGACGAAATCTCAGCACGGATTTGGGAAGTTCGTTTGGCTTTTGCCAACTTATGTCACCTATGGCGGAGGCGAGATATCCGTCTATCAACAAAAGGACGAGTATACTTCGCGGCAGTCAGTTCTGTTTTAATTTACGGTAGCGAAACTTGGTCATTAAGAGTAGAAGACACTCGTAAGCTAATAGTATTTGACCACAGATGCATTAGAAATATTGCTGGCGTCTGCTGGGATCACCGGGTAAGTAATTATGAGGTTAGACGCAGGGTATTAGGGAATGATGGTAAATCAGTTGATGAGGTTGTGAATCTTCATCGACTGAAATGGTTGGGCCACGTGTTACATATGCCTGAACACCGATTACCACGACGTGCAATGCTAGCCGGTGTTGGGGATGGTTGAGAGTTAGGGCCGGCCAAACCAAAAAGTGGCATCCGTGCTTGAAGTCACTAACCTCTAGTCTGAGCAATGTTGGGAGATGCAGACTACTTGGTTGAGGTACGCGTGACTATCGTAACCAATTGTTGGAGACTTTTGGTGACATGGCTCATAATCGATCACAATGGCGTCGGTCTATACGCTCTATGTCTTCCCTTAAACTATGAGATTAAAATCCCTTCATATCTTTCCTTCTACGTACTAAATTTTTCTTTCTGTACTATATCCTTATATGCAATCTTTTATATATTACCATCATTGACTGAACTATCCCTATGAATCCGGTGTCCATCTTGTTGTGCTAATGAGGTATGACAACTTGGACCGATGCATATATGTGCCTGGTCCTACGTTGTAGCTGACTGACTGACAATAATTAGCACTCATTAACAGACAGGGTATTTGAATCATGAAGAAACATACATGGGATATGAACACATGTTTTTCAATATCATGGTTATAGACATTGTTACTTTCAAAACAGACTCACGTCATCAATGTAGAACCTAGCGCAAGCGTGCATTGGTTCAGTTTGCAATATTTGATCAGTATTGTACGATAAATATAATGAAAAGGATGATAAGGAAAGAGACAAAACTAAGAATACAATGGTCTTGAGTGTTTTTAAAGGTATGAGGGCGTTTATCACTTCCCGGTTACCCACACCGTGGAAAGGTTTTTCTAGAGGTATCCGAAAAGGGAATTGGGTTAGTGACCTGAGAGTATAAGAGCAGTGTCCAAGATACAACTGCTCGAGGTCGGTCACACACGACCTTTGCGTGAGTACTTTTCGTGTTATATCCGTACTTGTTGCGACATTACCTCCAGAGACGGATGTTCGTGGATAAGGCGAGTTGTACATTGTTAGGGTCGAACTTTTTTAACACCACCACTCCTTGTGGGAAGAAAGCGTCGCTGTTATGCTGGTTATCCGAAGGAAACACCTTACTGCTGTCACACCTCTGTACAGTAGGCAGTACGACTTGATCTTCGAACCTTGGGTTTGGTGCTTTTAGTCTTACCGCTCTTCAACCAACCTGTCTGGCTTGGTAGGACCTTGAGGAATGACTGTTGCAGCCAGTATAGCTCGATTGGTCCATTACGAGAGAAAAGCCCGACCATCACATCAAGGTAGCAACAACGGTTGGGAGAGACTAAACTGTGAGAATATGATATGGATAGACAGAATTGAAACACGTATATGAAGGGATACTGGAACTCAAAATTGACAAGACGATAAATAGTGATTAAATATGCGTCATTGTGACTGATTGTGAGTTATGTTACTCAACAGCTTCAACCATTAGTCACGACCCCAATCCACTAGTTTGCAACTCTTGTTATGGCTCAAACCAACAGTCAGCGGCTTCATGGATTGATCATACCTTTATTGGCCATTGCTAAATACCCCCTCAATCTCCTCCTGTACTTGCAAACATCCCGGTTAGAAGTAGGCGGTAGTTAAGTATCTTTAGCAGACGTTTCGACTACCTCATTCGATGAAGATGCACTTACCTCATCAACCGATTTGCCACTTTTGTCAAGTGCCCTCTGCTTAACCTCAGAATTACTCAGTCGGTCGTTCCAGGTAGCCCGAGCAATACTTTAACGATCCCTATGATCAGAAATATGTAGCCTGCTTGTGTCTCCTATTTTCATAGACTATGTTTCAAAGCCATAAAGTAGAACAGAGCAGACTGTTGCAGCATGATACTTAGTAAGAGTAGCGAGAGGTATTTCTTCTCATTTATTTTTGAATCATGACTCAGAAGCGTTCATGAAAGTAGTTACAAAGAATATTGTCTGTCCATATTATTTTCTACTACCATCGATTCTCTTACTATTACTCTGACTCTTGTCTTGATAATTCCATCTTGGTGTAGTGATGTACTATGGCAAGTTGAATTGACAGACATACGTCCTAGACCCTTAGTCAGTCACAACGTAGAACTTCGTACGTTCGTGCATCAGTTCAAATTGCCATACCACATTAGCACAGACATACAATTGTTGATTCAAACCCCGTAGTGGTGGAGGTAGTAAAAGTATAAGCAGTAATCGGAAACATTAGTGTTTGAAGATATTATTCAAGGAGCATAATCCAGTGAAATAAATTCGAAAGGAGAAAAAACGAGAAAGGGACATGAAGAATTCAGAAGATTAGAATTCGGGAGAACACAATGAGTGGGTGCACCTGTGAAATTCCAAACGATTTTGAACATGTCATTCAGGGTCTCTAACCATCGGTTGCTATCATCTCGCGGTTCCCAGCCAGGTAGTCTATACCTACCAACATGTCCAGTCCACTTGTCAGTTACTTCATGGATTTATGCCATGGTTTGGTCTGGCCTCCCGTAACTTTCTCCCAACCTACTCCAACACCATAAAACATCACACGTCGGTGGTTAGGCACACGTAACACATGTCCCAGCCATCTTAACTGATAAAATTTCACTACTTCACCAACTGATTTGCCATCCTTACCTAATACCCGTTTCCTCACAACTGCGTTACTTACTCGTTGGTCTCAAGTTATACGAGCAATGCTTCGAAGACACCTATGATCGAATACTAGTAACCTACGACTATCCTCTACTCTTACCAGCCATGTTCCACTGACATAAAGTAGGACAGACCGAACTGCTGCGCAGTAAACACGTCCTTTGGTTGATAGACGGATATCTCGCCTACGCCATAAATGACGCAAGTTAGCAAAAGCCAGTCGAGCCTTCTGTGTCCGTGCTGAAATTTCATCACACACTAGATCACAAGGGCTGATGAGACTCCCAAGGTCGGTGAAGCGGTCGACACACCAAATACTTCACTCTCTATCATTAGTTTAGGTGTCGATGCAACCCAATCCTGAAGCAACATTTTGCATTTCGAGGGAGAGAATCTCATCCCGAACATGTATGCATTGTTGCTTAGAGTAGTCAAAAGGCTCTGCATTTTGTCAGCGTCTTCACCAAATAGAACTGTGTCATCGGCATATTCCATGTCAACAAGTGAGAGTCCCGCCCTCAAATGCCCTGGTACAGCCGAGAGTGGAGAGAGTCCGCTCTCCATCTCGAAATGCTCTCACATGGCCTCGAGTATGTAGCCTCTGCCAGGGAAGTCCTACTCACTGCCTTCTCGTGGCGGGGGGTGTTGTTTACGAAAATGAGAGGATGAAAAGCGAATGTCCGGCGCTTTAACCGGATTCCAAACCAATGGTGCACATGGGCTCCAGTATCCTGCGGGAACGAATGGCGTATGAACCAGTTGTTGGTCACCGGCTTCCGTGGGACTGCATCTCCTGACGTTGCTTTACTGTCTTGTGGATCAGACCTTCAGATCGAAGGCTCGGAGAGTGGCCCTCTAAGAAAACCACCTTCACAGCCCTCACACATATCGAATGAGATTTGTGTGGGGCATATGTATGTGGTGCCTCCTCGCACCAATGTGTTATTTATGTGTTAAAACAAACAAATAAATTAAAGTGAGAATCCCGGTAAAAGTTCAATTCCCGGAAATTTAAATGAGGAAAGTGTTATCTCTGAAAGCACGTCAACGACAAAGTTAAACAAGAATGGAGAATGTCGTAGACCATAACTCTGCATATGTCTAAATAACTTAGTAAATGAATGAATCGGAGTTTGTCACCATAGAATATATCGATTGCATAATATAATGTTAGTATGAACGAAATGAAAAAACGCTTAATAAGCAGTCGGATATTAATAACAGTTACGCAATAGTAAAAGAAGGATGAGGAAACTTCTGTTAAAAAGAAATGCATTGACAGCGAAAAGAGTGTAACATCATTCAGTACACATTCTAATTTTGGCTATTTCAATAGTCAGGGTGAAGAGAGCGATTGTACAGAAGTCAGATTTGTTAATGTGGATAGTTGTTGACGGCTTCGGCTATGTTGCTATTATTATTTTTTTATCAGTATAGGGGTTGTGCAGATTATTAAGCTTTTGATTGAGATCATGAACGGATTTATGTTAGACCACACCACCGTTGGAAACCTGGAAGCACTATACGGCCGTTTCGTCCTAGTATTGGACTCCATTATCCCGCTCTCGGGATTCGAATCCAGGGCCTTCAGTCTCATGCGCGAATGCTTAACCTACTGGGCCACTGAGCCGGCATCCAACGGTGTTAATGTCTAACATCAACCAATTCACGAGATTGTGCGACCATCTATTGTACTGAGGTAGATACCTGTCTCTACCCAACACGAACTGGATTCATTACTAATTAATTTAATTTTTTTTCGGTTATTAGAAAGAAAAATCTACAGGTACTTCTGTTCAAGATACAGTATCTCCTTCCTCTTCTACTACTACTACTACTACTACCATTATTGATACTACTCAAGTTACTTATATATCACACAGTAATGAGAGCATTAAGCCAACAACTTCAAAAACATTATCACCGGCTAATCAAAGCAAAGAAGTTGTTGATTCATCAGAAAATCAAGTTCATACAATAACTGAAACAGTTTCTTCACAAAATAAAAATGAATCAGATACTAAAGAGTTATCTTCATCCAGTATAACTGATAAATCACCGGAATATGATTCAATGAAACAAACAAACTCACATGAACATAAAGTTCCAGATAGTTCATTAGTTGATGGTGGTACATCATCGAAAACTATTGGTAACAGTAATACTATAGAAACTAATGAATCATGTAAAGAGAATAAAAGTGAAACACAAAAAACAGATAGATTACATCATAGAATAATGAATCAATCAATGAATACATTAAACCATCATGATAATAATCGTATATCCAATGAACATATTAGACAATCTACATCATTTGTTCAATATCATACAGCAACAGTATGTGCTGTTGGTGTAGCTATTGCTTTATTTATTATTGTTATGCGTCGATTAGCAATCATATTCCAAGAGGTTTAATATAAAATAAAGTGGTGGTGGTGCTGCTGCTGGTGACAGCAGAAACTAAATTTCTTGTAACTATATGATTATTTCACTTCAAAATTATTGATTCGTATATTCAATGAATCAATTCAAAATCTCATCTTATGTACCATAGTAAAAAAAAACAAGAACAAAACTCGAAAACCCTGGAGGGGGGGTCTTTTGTTTATTGATTTTTCCACTGCCTTACCAACTTCATTTAAGCTTCCATTCTATTAAAGTATTTCATAATGACATTCTTTTCTTTATATTAATATAAAGGCTATGATCATTTTTTTTTGAATGTTTATCTAATTAATACACCATAGTTACAAACATTGAATAGAAATAGTCGTATAACATGTTTACTCCCTTAAATAAATTAGTTACTATGACAACTTTATGATTCTAACAGGACACCTTTATTTACCATTTTGATTATTTAAGAAATGATTATAATAATAAGTTTATCTTTTATTTAATTTTCTTTGTTTATGATTTGATTTATAAAGTAAATTTTGTTTCATCTCAAGTAGTAAGTCAATATAAAGTATCTAGATGTAAATGTATAACTTGTAAACAAAATGAATAAAACTATGAATGAATAGTTGTTACTCAATTGTTGTGTAATAAATAGTATATAGATACGCTTCAAATGAATTATCTTTGAAATGACTCAATATGTCAATGTGAATAATAAATATTACTGTGCGGCAGTTCGTTCCGTCCTACTTTATGGCAGTGAAACATGGCTGGTAAGAGTAGAGGATATTCGTAGGTTACTAGTATTCGATCATAGGTGTCTTCGAAGCATTGCTCGTTGTTAGGAAACAGATACTAGGTAAGGATGGCAAATCAGTTGGTGAAGTAGTGAAATTTTATCAGTTGAGATGGCTGTGACATGTGCCTAACCACCGACGTGTGATGTTTTATGGTGTTGGAGTAGGTTGGGAGAAAGTTACGGGCGGCCAGACCAAAACATGGCACATCCATGAAGTCACTGACAAGTTGTCTGAGACATGTTGGTAAGTGTAGACTACCTGGTTGGGATCCACGAGACGATAGCAATTGATGGTTAGAGACCTTGAATGACATGGCTCAAAATCGTTTGCAATGTCGCAGGTGCATCCACTCATTGTGTTCTCCCGAATTCTAATCTTCTGAATTCTTTATGTCCTTTTCTCGTTTTTCCTCTTTTCAGATTTATTTCACTGACTAAGTATGGTAATTGATACTGTAGTGTCTTGTTTCAAACATCGATTTATGTCATTATTCCAAGGGATAAGACCTAATAACTCAATGTATAAATTATTTTATAGTTGAATTCATGAGTCGATTGAATCTAGATCACCATAGGAAGCCTGGGAGCATTGGACGGCCATTCTAATATGGGGCTCCTCAGCAGTGCTCATCCATGATCCCGCGCCGCGAGATTCGCACCCAGGACCCATCAGTCTAGCACGCGAGCGCTGAGCCTGCATCCAACAATGTTTCCATGGTCGTCTAACTTCGATTAATTCATGAATCTAACCATAAAACTACTAAGATCTCCACAAAACCCCTTCGGATTATAAATTATTCACTATGATGTAAATTTCATAAAGCAATTGTTTACATGATTTTTGGTAGATGCACTTTAATTCACATTGAGATCTGATTCCTACTGCTGAACTCTTACAGTCATCCAATTAGGTTAATGATTCTCTTTTATAACTCAACTTTTATGGTAAGCTACAAATTAAGTAAAACAGAAGCATAAACATTGAATGAGTGGTAACCAATATCACTGTCTTGTCCTTATTGCAAATCAAATCTTGTTGACTACATGTGTGCAGTATGGTCATTTGCCTAAATCATTGGACATGGGTTTCGTGATGGTGCGCACAAATTTGCCATGATATGGCAATTGATGTCTTTCATTGAATTCCTACTGAGGTCATCCAGTCCCATAGCCAGAGACATTACAACTGAGTTACTCCGATCACATTCGGTTTTTGTAAAACTGAAATATTTAAACTGATTGGTGGTCGTACAGTAACCAATGCCGTGTTTACATAGTTTATACCCCTAACCGGATTGTATTGACCACATTGTAGTACGACTCATTGTGGTGCTCGCTAGGACGTCTGGAGGTTATAGTGTCATAAACCCTCCTGACAAATCTTAAGCCAGGACAAAGTGTTTGTTTCGTATATCTTCGTTGTTCAGTAAAAGTCAGTCCATGCAAACTATCTTTTAACGAGATGAATACAACTTGAAAATAACGAATTCAACGTAGGGAAGCTACATAACTAAATGTACCTACAGTACAGAGACTGTCAGTAAGTTGTCTTAACCGAAGTATCTAACTACATATTATGCTTATCTTGGGAATCACAGCCAATATATATCCACCAATCAAAATGACTTCATAAAAAGACCATTCTCTGATTTAGTTACCAACCTGCTCTCATATCAGGAAATACCGGAAATCGGTCGATGATTTATGTGTGAAATAGCTTTCAGTAACTTAAGTTGATTAATTTTCACAAAAATATTCAAGCGATTTACTCTAATTATCTAGTTATTAAGGTTAATCATAGATAGAGTAAGGTCAACAAATTCATTGAACATTGTTTTTAAGTTCAAACGTTTCAAGATCAAACGAAGGCTATGCAAACTGATAACGATTATTCTTCTACATGACTATAATCAATTCCAAATGAAATCTCTTATATATGATCTAAATTTTTGCTACTTGAAAGCCTTGTACAGTAATCCTTTAAATAAAATGACTCGAAAAATAAACAATATAAAAGAAAGCTTGTTTTTCTTCTTTTTAGTTCAATTAAAATGTTAAATTTCAAATAAGCCCTCAAATGCCCCGGTACGACCGAAAGTGGGAAAGTCAGTCCTCCCTCTCAAAATGCTCTCAATTTGACACGTGTATACAGCCACTGTCAGAAAAGTCCTACTCACTGCCTTCTGGCCACTGTGGTGGTGTTTTTTGCGAAATTGAGAGAACAAAAAGACAATGTCTGACGTTTTAACCGGGTTATTGGGTGTGTAGGATCCACCTAGGGGAGTTGGAAAACTCATTTCATACCAATGGTGCATATGGGTTTCAGAATCCTAAGGAAACAAATGGTGTATGAACCTATTGTTAATCACTAGCTACCATGGGACTACATCACCTTACGTTGCTCCACTACCTTGTGGATCAGATCCTTAAGTCGAAGGTTCCGCGCATGGCTCCGTAAGAAAACCACCTGCCTTGGTATGGGCACCCGTGCAGTATCACAGCTCACACACAAGTCAGATAACTTGTGTGGTGTATACGTATTCGTTGCCCCTTTGTATCAATAGTTATGTATTCAAATAAATAAATAAAATACTTATAATTTTAAATATAAATAATATTATATCATTGAAAATAAAGATAAATTCACAACATATACAAGAAGTTGAAGACAACAATAATTGTCATTTACAATTTTATCAAATTGAAGAAGTTTATTGAATGAATGTTTATCATTATTCATTACTATCATCATCAAGACTACTGATAATATCACCAATATTCTTTTCAACATCATCTACTCTCTTTGATAAATCATCTAGTATTGAATTAGTTACGGAAATAGTTCTTTTACGAGATTATTATAACACAATTGATATTCAATAAACAAATCATTGTGTGTTATTGAAATATATGTGAATAGTTAATACTTGACTATAGAGAGGTGACTCAGTGATAGAAGTTGAACTCTGAAACACTATTGTAAGTTTGAATGCCACTTCATCTAATTCAGTTCGACAACTAAATATTAACCTTGACCCTTAGAAATAAAGTAAAACGTGAAGCTGAGTATACGAATCTGTGCCTAACAATAGTCTAATAATTATTATATACATCCAGATGGTGTAACTCATTTCCCTAGTTTAAGTCCAGTTACTTAGCTTTGAATCATATCTTAAGTAAATGACGGTTTACTTATTTATTTAATCCTATAAATATTGGTACGAATGGATAGCGGAATATTCGCCAAACAATAAGAAAATGAGATTATGGAGATAAGGGGTTGGGTATTATGAAAAATAATAAATATATAAAATTAGTGAATGAGAACCGAAAATAAGTGGAAGAAGCAGTTCAATTAAGAAAAATACAAGGACGAAGAGTTTTTCTTCATTTTTATGAAGCAACAGAAAATTACAACGGGACCACCATCGGTTTTTATTCCGAACCGTGCATGACAACGTCTCAAGCCATTGAGTTGCACCATTTCTAGAACCCCAACCAGAGTTGTGAAGGGTTGACGAATATCAGTTCTGTACAGTTTTTCTTAGAACAATATCATAAGCTGACCATTTCGACTTTCTTCAGCCAGTCCGAGCATCGGCAAATAATGCACAGAGTGGAATTTGTTGCAACGACATTCATAGCACATATCCAAGCTATCAAAGCTGGTGTTTTAAGATGATGATATCACGTGAATTATCGTCACTACACCCAAAGACTGCTGACAGTAAGCGTTTGATATAGGAATAAGGTTGAGATATTTTTAAAATTCCGACCCCACTTTTCATCTAGTGATTAGTCTTTACAAATCAAGTATTTAGCTATAGGTATGATGGAACCTGCTAGAGCTGTGTTTTTCAAACTTAATCAGATTTTTAAGGCTTATTACCACTTTTTTAATCTTAATATTGTGGAAATATAGATACACAAAGTGAATTCTGAATACAAATATATTTACGTTTTTTGATGATCATCCACACAAACCATAAATGGTTTTATAGAAAATTTACTATTTTCTACCAAAATGTTTATATAGTAGGTCCACCGTGGACCTATGGAGGTGACATTATTGTTGAATTATTTTCGCCACTGTACTAACAGGAAGTCATGGGCGAAAATCTTCTGTTTTAGCATTTCTAATTCATTAGCTCACCTATTAATCAATGAACCATTAACAAAAGGACTTTACTGAGAGAAAAAAGTTAACTAAGATTAGAACTGACTGCTTACATACTATATGAAAAACTGAGCACCTAATATGTTTGTCATTTTTCTCTGTGATAACAAAAAGAATGTCCTAGCAATTTTGAACGTGACCCAATTTACTCCCCTACTGTTTGTTTCATACGAAATTAAGGTTGTAAGAAGCAAATGACTTGATTTAAATGCAAGTAATATGCACTTAACGTTGAAATAAATTTAAAATGTATCAGCCGGTGATGGTACTCTTCTAACAAGACCAATTAGACGGAGAGCGGAGCAGATTTTCAAGCCAATGGTTTACGTTTAACACTCTACTGCGAAATATACTAGATTGTCACTGATATTAAGTTTAATAGGGGTGACACAGTGCTTTGTAAGGCAAATATGGACTGTTTTATTCCTACTTCAGGCTACTATTCAAAATAGTATAATATTAGAAGCAGGCCTAGGAACATGTTGGTCAGATGCTTAAATTTAAGCCAGTAAATCATACGTTTTGATGTTCACTGACATTCAGCAGTATCAACAACCTCCCCTTTTATCCTAAGTGCGTTCGTTACTCCATATTATGTCTTTCGGATGGTCTGAAAAGAAACTCCGGTCTTCATTGTGTGATAAGTGAGTTTATGAAACTACAGAGGCTAGGTAGACAGCGATAGTCACTAAACATTGCTATTATCTTGAGTGAACTTTTTGTGTAATAATAATGCTTACTTAAGACAGGTGTAAA